AGGTATGCAGATGGATTACCATAACCTCAGTTTCATGTGACTAATGATATGCATATACCTATAAAAGGTGCAGCTTAGAGAAGTAATCAAAGGGTTGTTAGTACTGTTGACCAGTCAGAGAGTAACTCAAATAATAAGACATTGTCTGCTCTTTAGTGGTCTCAATTAGATGGTCTCATTTAGTGAGGCCAAGGTAATAGCAACATAATCAGGTCATCTGGAGATAGAACCTGTCCTTCATCTTTAGGAATGCCTAAAGATTAAGCATAGGAGAAGTAGCTTCTACTACAAAGAGTATTGCAGTCTCCCAGGCTATCACTCTATTACCTTTTACAAATGTCATATTAAATACCTGAAAATATCATGAAATACCTGATCAAAGAGATGCTTTACACCAACTCTAGTCTGCTAGATCTGCATTTAGATAATAATGAAGCTACAGTAAAAATGTACAGCCATTTGTAGGTGTTAAAACTTGATAGCACTCTTTGTTCTGTTTATACAAACATAAAGTTTCAGTACAAGTTTCTCTAAAAGCCACAGGTTAGTTATGTGGTCTGACAATGCAGATTACATTGCAGCGTCAGTGCAGTGTCTAACCTCGGTCCTGATAATGCCATCCTCCAGTGTAGTACTCGTCCAGGAGGGCTGGGGGCCTCCAGGACTGCAGGATGTAATCCACCTGGTACTGCTTGCGCCAGGTCAGGGACTGACAGAGCATCTCTCGAGCTTTGTCAATGTTGAAGTCACGAGCCCTCAGGAAGCGAAGGATATGTTCATCTTTGGGGATCTGAAAGAGAGAAAGTCCAAGGATCAGGACTGGTACATTACTTGTACCACTGTTCCATAAAACCTGCAGGGAAGCTTGCAAAGCATGCAGTAAGTTTTAAACTCTTAAAATTATGCAAATATTAACAAAGATTAAACCTACATTCTTTCCTTCTCCCCCCCTGCCTAGCTAATCCAGTTCACTGCAGCAGATGGAGCTAGCAACAAGAAAGAAGTGACTAATCCCTAACCCTTCCAGAGATATGGGCTGCTTTATCCGAGCAGGAATTAAGCAGCCTGCGAGGAGGCACCGCAGCGACCGGGTGGCCGGACACCCCAGCAAGCGAGCTGTGAGCTGGCCAAAGCCTCCCTCTGCTCGCCCCACCAGCACAAGCAACGAAGTCCTGAATGAAAGCAACAGAGCTGCACGATTCTAACCCTGTAAATCCAATTGGAAAAGGATGAAAAGCACCCTCAGACAACACGTTAACCACATTAATCTTACTACTACTAGGCAATTGATCATAACTGTACAATCTTCATAGCATTTTATTTCAGCTCTTGTGCAGGCTCCTCTTCTGCTTTGCTGCTGACCATTCTTCAGTGGCCTTCTCAGGGCAAAAGGTTTCAGGTTCTTCCCTTTGTGTCAGCCATTACAGTCTAACTCTTATTAGAAAGAAATATCACAACATGCCCCCAACTCTATCACTCATGCCAGCACTTTTGACTAGTAATTCTGACATCACAGACACAAAAGCCCTTTCAAGCTGAGTCTGTAAAACAATTTATTACAACTTCCTTCCAACTCTCTCAAGTCTTCCCTTTAATCAAAAGCCAAGGAAAAATTGCCATCTAAAATATTAGGCAGCAGTGACTAACAATAATCCTGGCAGATCCCGGAATAGTGCCAAATTTGAGTAAAAGTGTACCAGTGGTGAAAACTGGATTCCAGCTGCAAATGCTCTTGATTGCTCTTCACAGCCCCTTCACCCCAGTTCCCCAAAATGTGTTTGATCAACAGCTGTATCAGGTTTCCATTAAAAATGCAAGTTGTTCAGAGCAGAGAGAGCCTCCTCCAGACTATTTGTACTGTGTTTAGCACAGTGCAAGTGATCTGAGCTCCACTGTAATAGATGGAGAGAAAAAAAGGGTGTGCTCACGAGTCAAAGCTCTTTTGTTTGTTCTGACGTGCTGATGAAAATAGAAAGCAGGGAAGAAAGCAAAGGCACCAGGAGTGTCAGGCTGGGAACAAGATCAGTTTCACAAGCTGATATGAAGCTGCAAAAGATAATAAGAATCATTTCCATGGAAAGAAAAAGGAGGAGCTCAGAGAGCCTGAAGCCAGAGCCCGGTGTCACCTCAGGAGGAGATGGGAGATTAATACTGTTTAGCACAACGCTTCATTTCTAACACTTTGCGAGTACCATATTTGCATGTTGTAAACAGGAAAAGGACAAGCTTTCCCAAGTCAGATCGCAGAAGGATTTAGAAGAATGCCCACAACATTTTTCTGCATTGTAGCAAGATTAAAAGACAGAAGAATTTTTATCAGGTGATTTACATTTTCCTTTCCTCTTCTCAAAGAAATCCTTTGTTCGAGGCAGCACACAAAATCCACAACAGCCCTTGGATCTCCCGCTTACAAGGAGGAGAGGGGGTGGCTGTTTTGCTACTTTCAATGGTTTGCAAACCTAGACTGTATATAGCTATTGGTAAGATGCTGTTTTATGTGAGACAGTTCATTTCACTACAGAATCTAGAAATTGGAAACTGGGTGGAGAGGGGGAGAGAAAAAAGAAAAAAAAAAAATCAACATTTGTATTTGGACCAGAGAGCCAGGTCCAGAGACCAGAGAGGACCAGTGTCTGAGCAGACTTGGAAAGTCTCTCAGTTGTCTTTGTCCAACCAAGGAAGTAATTCCCACATGCAAGAACATGAAGTTTTAATTCCAGTCTGTTGTTCTGCTCACTGCTAGAACTACATACACTTTTCCACATGGTACAAAATCATTGACTAGCAGCTTGTAGTTTCAATTTCTTCAAATACACAGCTTTTTAAAGCAATGACAAATCCAATTATAAAGAGCACTGTGTTTTGGAAGAAAAAGGGGACAGTGAAACAGAACAAGAGAAAAGGACAAAAATAAGATGAAAATTTCCCAAGAAACAGGAGAGCTACAAATATTTTTTGACAGAGCAATAAAGACATGCCTGCTTTGAAATAAAAGAGCAGAAAGTCATAGCAAGATGACAACCTCTCCAGAGAAAACTCAAGTCATGCAGGAAAAGTTTCTGATTTTGCACTATTCTGACAGGCAATCTGCATTTCAAGAGAAGCAAGAAGGCTTAGGATAAAGCCCGAATAAGCCAATGCCATCCCACTTGCTTGCTCAAGATCACGAAGCCTCCAGGAAGGGCACAGTGCTGCTCCCCGGTGTCCCTGGAGCAGGCAGCGCTCAGCTGCGCCCTGTCACGGCACCTACCCGAGCAGGCAGCGCTCGGCTGAGCGAGCCCCTGCGCACGCAGAGCTCCAGGCGCCGCGGGAGCCGCTGCCTCACGCTGCTCACACGTCTCTGCTCTGCCTTCCCCAGCTTCCACTCCCCACACTAACCAAGTGTGGGGATGGGGAAGGGAATAGGGAAGAAAACAGACATTCAGTGTGTGCTTCTTCCCACTGGAACTGGGACCCTTGCAGATTCGAAGCGTGGATAAAGGCCAGCAGACTCACCCTCAACTAAAGCTGGTTTTCAACAGGACACTCAATAGCCAAGACATCTCCTACCACTGACACTAAAGCTCCAACTGTTTAGCTAGACAGATCACAGATGACTTGAAAAAACCCAAGTACTAGAGCATAGCAGAGAAGTAAAACCCCAGACACAGGTATTTCTTATTTGTTTTCTGGGGAGGATTTTTTTTTTTTTTTAAACTTCAAGGAAGTCGATCTGCATCAGCCATTTTTAGGGAAGTTTAATTTGCTTTGGGTTATATTTGTTGAATTCAGCCCCATATGCCTTTGATCCCTGCCCTGTTATCTGGTTTATTTCAATTCCCTTTTCCCTGAGAGAGGATCGAATCATTGGAGACACGGATCACAAGCAATATTCATTAAAGCACCTTTTATTAGTTATGCCACTATTAGTAATAGACAACCATTCACACAGCTCACCAAATACACTCACAGTTACCTTTATGGGAAGCCAGCCCCAGCTGGTGTTTAGAAAGCCCCTCCAGGGTCGTTTTTCATCTGGTGTTTTATCTAGCCCTGTAGTCTTACCTGCCTACACAGCAACTACTGCCATCCTGGACATGGTCCAAATGCAACCTATTGCTGATGCTGGTGCAAGCTGGTGGCCTTGGACAGACCTGGCAGACACTTGATGTTCTGAATTTAATCAGCTCTTGCAGATTCAACAGCAAAACTAGTCTCCGGAGCTTGTCAGCTATTTCACAGCATATTTTATCTCTCTTCAGCCTGTTCTGTGCTGTTTCTCCATCAATAGGTACCCACAGCATCCACACACACTGAAGGGGACTTAGAGGTGCTTATGAGTTCACAAACAGCAGAACTTGGCTACATGTTTTATTTCTGAATAAGTGATGTGCATTAGTTTCTCCAAGTGAGGTCTTTAAAAGTGTTTAAACTCTTAAAATCGTAGATGATACATTCATTCCTTCTCTTAGCTTTGAGCAAGATATAGCAAGACATGCAGAAAGTACTGGCAATGCTCTTTGCAAATAACACTTGATTTTGTAAAGGACAGTTAACAAAAAACCTGAGGCCATGAAAGCTGGATGCCTCCTAGACCATTCTGTGCAACTGTAAAGAGTTACCCGCTATGCCAGAAAACTATTACTATTGAAACCTTACCTAGCTATGGACCCTTTTCAAGGGGTATCAATTGCTTCAGCCATCTTTCTCCTGTTTTCCCCTCTCCCCAAGCATTCAATTGGGTGGATGTACCCAGTTCACCCAATTACACCTGCCTCCCTTCCCACACAACCTCTTTGCATCAGGAAACTTGAGGGTTAGGCTGCCTCTAAAGATATTCACACTACTTTAGGCTTTTCTCAGCCACAAGCCACTTACCTCTTGGCCTTACACACAAACCGCCCTTAGACTAGGGAGGAGCTGCTAGTGAGAATTGCCTTAGACTAGCGAGCAGAAGTCGAGTTGCAGCTGGATCAAAGAATCCATGCTGCTTTTCAGGGAAAAATATTTCCTCCTACACTAGTTGGCCAGCCCCAGCTGTACTTGTCCCAAACTAGTGTTCTCAGCTCCTCTACTTACAGACTTGATCAATGTATCTCCAACCATGAGATAAAAGAAAGACCATCTCCTCAAGTTCTGCATGTTTTTGACATTGCTAATTTTGATAAAGGAGATTAAAACAACATCAGGGTTAATTCTCCTAAAACACATCAGCATTTGACTGTACAAACTTGCACTGGTTGCCTGGTATAGCACACACAGCCTACTGCTGACATGCACCAGGTGAGAGAGGTGCTACTGCCTGCCCCTAATGAGCAGCATCTGCCAAGAGACAGGAGACTTTGCCTAACTTTGCCAAAAGAGCGAAGCCCCAATAAAAATCATCTACGATTCTCCATTTTATGGGGGAAATTGAAGGCATACGGGCTATGAGAACAAGACCACTCGGGTTTGCCAATGGGTGTGTTTTGCCTCTTCTACCCACCTTGCCTTTGTGCGTTTCCTGGAGCCACTGGCGAAGGCGGATCAGACAGCTCTCTTGCATTGGGGTCAGCTGGCCCAGATACCGCTCGATGTAGTCGGCGTCCAGTTTGTCAGCTGGAGAAAGAAGAGAATCATCCACGGGAGGATGGGCAAAAACACAAGGGAGAATGAACATGCAGTTAGTTCCACACACCAGGTTATGATTTATACTGGAGGGCTACAGAAGCCCTCATTTTAGCTACCTGTCCTGAGGAGGGGGAGGGAACAGCAGGTGAAAAAAATCTCATGGTGATGAGTGCATGAGGACACAAACAGTATGTAGTTATCAAAGCAAGATCACTCTGTTTCTAAGAGTGCAAATATTTCATTTGGCCCTGACCTGTGCAAGCAGGAGCTTTCAAATAAATACCCAGAGCCTGGCACTCACCTCTAACAACTTCAGGTTCTGGGCACCAAAATCTCTAAAATTTTCATTACTCACTATTGCAATGGCAAGAGGCTAAAAACAGCCATCTGAAAACTAAAATGCTATCCTGCTTACAGACACCAGAGGGATAGGGTGAATAAAACCAAACTCAGACAGCAAGGGAGACTACTTTTGTCATGGGGAAGCCCTGTGTGTCCCAGCAGCTCAAGGTCCTTCCAGATCAGAGACCAAGGACAAGCAGGATTTGACTCTGCCAACACCCACAGACAGAAGCACGTGAGCTCAGACACTTGCGTGGGCAGATGCCCCTGAAGAGAACGTGGTAGCCACAGAGGAAAGGGCACAGACCTGTAGCTGTGCAGGAGACATGCAGGCACACAAAGAGGAAGACCTCTGAGCTAGCTCTGCATCCGGCAGGATATTCTTCTCAGTAGATACCATTAGCTATAGAATAAGGACTGGACACCCACAGGACACACTGCTGCTGACTGATAATACTGAAATTATATTTGATAAGCTCTGTTTCCTCACAGAATCTATAGAGCTAGCAAGCTGAGGAGCAAACCCAGGGAGGTTTATCAGTTTACAAGCATGAATATAAGCAGAATGAGCGCAGCTGCTCTCCTCTTCTGCTAGATGAAATCTACCACTCTTAAATTAACTTTAACCTGAAGATCTCCAAGTATGTGGACATTTCTTATAGTCACAGTTCCTTTATCGATTTGAATTCCTTTTACAGACTGTTTCCCAGAGACTAGAAAAGGTAAGAATCCCAAATTCCATGCTTTTTTCCTAGGTACAGTCAAGGAAAGCAGGTGCTATCTTTGCTTCTGAGTAATGACAACTTCTATTCAGTATCATAGCTCTCACTATATTAAGATGACTCCCTATTTTCCACCCCCCACCCCCGCCCCATTCAAGACAAGAATTTTATTTTGTCTGGAAGATATCCTCAGATCAACACAGAGAAAGAAAGCTTTGTTTGGGCATCCTAGGTGGGAAACACATTAGGCCCAAATCCCAAGAACATTAATTGTGAAAGAGTCAAAATTGTATGGAAATTATTTTGCATTCAAGATACTTTAAATTGAAGAAACCTTAAAGTATAAGATAAAGAGCAGATCAATGGTGTTTTCTCAGCTCACACAAAACATACTATCTGCTTTTTCCTGTCTTTTCAAGTATGTTTTTTCTTGGCTTTTCAGCTGGAATGGCAGAGAGCAGGGAGAATTGGTTTATGTTTTCATTGAAAAAAAAAAAATCTAACTTTCTCTCCTCCCTGTCCATAGCCTAGAAGAAAAAAAACTCATGCCAAAAAGAATAAACCCATTGGTCACAGTGCTACTTGAGGCGTTCAGGTGGCCAGGTGCTGCTACTGCCTGGACATCACATACCATCAGGACTGACCGCCTCTGCCGAAGGGCAGGAATTGCCCGCTGGCTCTTTGGTAGCTCCACGAGCCCCACTCTCGGCCGGGACGTCATCGACACCGGGTCCAACGGCCAGGGTTTGCTCATCCTTCTGCCCGCTCTCCAAGGGAGGTGTCCAGCGGGGGATGAATGTGATACCCTGCGAGATCAACTCCTTCAGATAGTGTTCAATCACTTCCTTGCCCTAGAGGGGAAAACTCATATTAATAAAAACACTACAACCCCACTCCATTGAAAATCAGCAAGGAGCAGAAGTTTAACAACTCCCTTCTGCATGAACCTGTGGAAAAAAAAATATATAGCGCTTTCACACTGGAAAATGGCAGAATACAATACTGGTCAGGCAAACTCTAATGGTATTCAGCATGATTCAACTCCCTTTCTAATACTTTTATCCTGATCTCCTACTTTCAGTGCATCAGGTTGCTGCATTGTTCCCCTGCAACCCAGGGGAAAAGGCCACCAAAGGAAATAGCCTCTCCAATAGCTTCTTGTAGGAGAGGCAAAGTGCTTATTTTCACCCAAAAGTTCCCTGTATGAGAACAGTGCCCGCAGTGCCTGGCACCACAGCATCCACTGCAGCCCTCCGCTGGTACAGCCTGCTCCCTCCTCTGCACAGAGGCATCCACTGAGCAGCTGGTTTTTGTTCACTGCACACTGCCTCTGTTTTTGTTGCTTTTGCTGTTCTTACTTTTCATTCGTCCTACTGAGCTACTTCAGAAACAAGCAAAACTAAGGAAAAGTATAAAACTATACTGGGTCTATTTTTCAGAAATAGAAACCCAAGGCGCACTGACAGCAGGTGCTTGCTTTAATTTTGTGGCACAAGGGGAAGCCCATCTTACCCGTTTGATGTTTGAAGTGTATTGCTTCATGGCAATTTTTTCCACTGTGCTTTCAAAGCCAAAAAATGACTTGATGTCGAGAGATGCAGACTGTTCAAAGCAAGTCCACTCTTCATTCTCAGGGTGTACCTAAGCCCAAAGACACATGTAGGGTTGCATATTAGATGGTAGCAGACAACTTGGGTTATGGCAGGGCCCTCACTGCAGGTACCCATTTTGCTGCTTATTCTCCAGAGCTACAGACTGAGCTACTGACAGACCCACATTTAGCAGCCAGGCTAATTCTCCCAGAGTAACAGAAGCACATCAGGAACTGGAGGAACATTTGTGGCTAAAACAGTATATTCTTCACACATTAGGAAATTAGAACCCATCTCTGCCTGGCACACCTAAACGGTAACATCAGTCTGTTGCAGAAATTGCACTAAAACAGTAGCCAGGCTGCCAACTTGAAACCATCATATCAGTGCTCCTTATGGAAAGATAGGCACTGCCTCACAAAGTCTGCTGTTAAACAAAACCTCTGTAACTCCAAAGAATCATAGAACAAGTTTTCTTCTTAATGTGGACAAGAAACTCAGCCCAAGAATGCAGGTCTTCTCCATAAAGCATAGAAAATACATGGCAGACCAGGCAGTGTTCCCTCATTGTCACTTCAAAGTTCATCATCTCTTTCTGGCCATTTCCCCTCGGTTACTTTACGTGCAGTAAGAATCAGAGTAACCTTTCCCTCTTCTAAACTCAACTCTTTTCTAAGGGACTCTGCATCTTTTCTCTGTTGGTGCTTCTATTCACAAACTGGCACGAAAGAAAAAAGATCTAGCTCCTGCCCTCAACCCTGCCAAAAGATACAGTGAGCTCTACCAGGGACACAAATTCCCACGGGGGAAAATTAAGCAACTGTAAGAGAAGGATCATATTTCTCCAGGTTGCTTCAGGGAACATTGCAGAAGTAGAAAGATGAGAATAAACCTGTTTCCGGTGCACTCTGGCAAGGAAAAGGAAACTGGTAAAAATAGTCCAAGGAACCATCTTGAGGATGCAGGCAGCTAAATCCTGCTCTGTTCCAGGAAGAGTCCTCCCTCCAGGACCAAGCTGTTGACATTTCCTTATGAGGGACACAGGCCGGAAGCGATACAGCCCCAACCAGCAAGTGCAGCAAAGCCTGAACAATTCCAGAGTTGACCTGGCAGTCTGTCAGAACCATCATCACATGATGCAAGTTTGACCTACAGTAATTTCTGGGAAGCTCCATGTAGACACGCAGAGATCTCTAGCTCAGGAACTCCGCTTCACTTCAACAGCTAAAAGCTTTTCAGCTACGTGTTCTTCTTGAAGCAGAAGCTCCTTACAGTTTGCTTGCTTCTAAGAAGCTGAGCTGTTGTCCAGCTGCCAAAAGGGCAGGTAAAGTAACATGATCTGGTCTTTTGTTTAGGGAACAAAAAGCAACCTGATTGCTTCCAGAAACAGATGAAGCTATTTAATGGTGACTGAACCCCAACAGCCCAGATACAGTGAAATGGCACAATGCTGCCTAAGACAGGGCCCCAAAGTGAAACACCCCAGGCCACGAATAATGCTCAAGTTCTTCAGCCAAATATTTAGAACAGGAACAGTGTAACAACCTCTTAAAACTTGCACTTATCTGCAGGTAAAAAGGAAAGTTAATTGCCAGACTTCTATCCACAACATATGTCCTATTGTAATAAATACCATGGGCTTCCTTCTAAACACCCACATCTAAATACTATGTCTAAGCTCCAGAAGTTAGCTTGAATTCCAACCATTTTTCCTACTTCCACTCGAGGACGTAACATCCCAGTCAACTTAAGAAGTGTCTTAGTCCCCAGGAAAACATTGGAAAAGGTTTGCTGTACGTCCCAAAGGCCTTCCAGTAGTAGACTCTCCCACTGTAGTATGTTACAGCTCGTGTTCAAACTCATTCAAGCAACTTCACCTTGTATGTTAGCACGTGACTTGCAACACTTCCTTCACAAACAAATAGAAAAAAACACTTACTGAGTAGCTACACGTCTCAAGGACAACAACGCGGTTGGCGAAAGTCTCATTGTGGGCTTCAATGCGGAGAGTTCGTTCTTTCCAGTTCACTGTGTTTTTCTGTATGAAGAAAACATACTCTACCCCTGCGATCTGAGAAGGAGGAAGAAACAAACATGGAAAGAAAGGGGGAAAATCAGAAATCGACCCTTTGCAAGCTTAGGAGTAAAGGCTACCGCCTTAGAGCATTTACTCATCTGTGCCGGCCAACAAAATCCAAGACTCTGGGCCCCTAGATTTTACTTGCCTTCTTTAGCAGCCTAGGAGCATCCACATTCAGTTTGCAGCTCCGTTCAATGATATGTATAGATCCATCATCACTCCTGGATTCATGCAGGATTTCACTCCCCAGGAAGACTGGAATCTCTGGACATGTGGGAAAGCGTTTTTCATATGCCTGGAAGTAAAAACAGAGCAAGTTTCACCTTCTGGATAGAACCATCTTAATTACTTCTCAATTTATGAATTGCCTTGCAGCAAGGTTCCAAGAAAACAGACTTTCACCTCTGAGGAAAAAGGGGCTAATGCAGAGAGAGAAAAGTGAAAGCAAAATAGTCATGAAGTTAGCTGGCCTTCGCTCCTCAGTCATCGAGCTGAGCGTGCCTCAACATATTTTTCCTTTCACACATGAAGCAGAAACAAAAGCTTGTTATTAAAGAATATTAGTTAGGGAAACAAAAACTTAAACAACAAACTCAGGTCTTCACCTAGCATAATGTCTGCTAGCTTAAGGCTGTACACATAGATAGCAAATTTTAAGTCAGACAAATGGCCTGGATGAAAAAGCCATTTTAAATAAAATACATAATACATTTTACCTTAAAAAGATGTGTTTAATAGCCAGTCCTGACTATCAAGATTGCCAGTTCCCGACTACTCTGTTTGCTTTGATTCACCTGCTTCTAAAATGACTCTGTCCTGGATGTGAAGCCTTCCTCGTTTTAACTGACCATCATCCCTTTGAAAACTTAAAACGCACTTTTCTATGACACTTGCAGCAAATAAAGTTAAATTGCATAAGTGTTACTTACTGTTGCTTCCCCTCAACTTCTCCCTACTTGTCAGTCTCATTAAATTGCAAGATCTTTGGAGGATGAAATGTTTCTCTTGAATTTCTCGAGTGCCTCATGTATTAGGTGCTACTATAAGTGTATAAGTGAAGCTACACCAGCACACACTGCGTAAGAAGCCCAAGACCAAGATCCAGCCACAGCTGTCACTGCAGAACCTCCGCATGCTCTCACAGACATTCAGACCATCTTGGTCATTAGACTTTTCTACTGTTGCTCCCTGGATGCACTTAACCTCTTCAAGCTAGTACCATCTCCTCCTCTTCCATAAGAGGACCATGTCACACAACACGTAGTTCCCCACATAAGGATTCGCACTTTTATCTTCCACCATAAGGGAGAGTTACTGGGATCATGACTGCGATGAGCTCTGCCTCTGACATGCACAGTGCTATGGGCAAGCCCAGGGCGGCTGCATTACCCGTTACCAGAGCAGTCCCAAAGCCTGGTGGCCCCAGTACATGCTCGTGTCCCTGGTGCTGGGAGTGCCTCCTGCTTTTAAAATAGCTCAGACACTTAAGGACACATTCCAGATCTCCTTTTCCTAGATCTCCAAATGGAACATAAGTTATTTCAAGTTACCGCATTGCTGCGGTATCCAAAGGGGAGTGCAAGCAGTGGCTACCAACCGACACATGGGACATAAACAAAGTACCTAAGTCTTTAAATCCTCCTCCCTATCACTAAGGAAACTTCTGCCCGCTTTGCCACGTTTGTTGGATAACAACTGGTGTGCCTGTTGGATGCTTTCAAAAGCTCTAAAGTAAATTTTAGGTAAATATAAAACTTGCAAAGGCAAATGACTATTTCTAACAGCTGGATGCATATGTCAAATCAAACTCATTGCTTTAAGATTGTCATAAGGGAAATTCATGGAGCGATATCAGGCACTGCTGAAGGATTGTCCCAGCTTCCCAGTAAACTGCACTTTTCTCAAGTATCGCAGAGCAAAAGTTATATTTTGCACCAAGCTCTGCAGCAAATTCGTGCTCTCAAGGCAAAATTAGTACTTCTTAGCTGCCCCTCTGCCTGCCCTCTCCCAAGCCTCCATTCTCCAAACTACCAACTTTTGCTGGCTCCAGGTGCTCTTTTCTCCCATGATAAGACACAAGCAAGGGTCTCTGCAGGCCACCCAGACTCTGCATTCTCAGTTGCGAGGGCCCCAGTGTTCAAACAGTGAAACTTGTGACACCTGGTAAGCTACTAAGACACCACAATACTTGGCAACTGTTTTCAGCTCTTTGTCCCATGCCACTCCTTAGATGTGCCCGTAACGCTCTTGCAAAAAGCATAACTGGAAACCCTATCCCAAAAGAACACCTCCCCACAGTTAATCCCCTCATTTCAGAGAACAGCAGTTCTCGGAGCCTAGAAAACACCTCGAATGGCAGGAGGTTTGTATGATACTAGGATTGTCCACACAACAAATGAAGCCTGTCTGCCTGTTGGCAGAGCAACAAGACCTGTTCTTCTGACAGGACACGGTGATGGGAGCAAAGGCCTCACTTCATTTTTACCAGAAGTGCGGAATTTTAAGAGCCTCCCTTCAACTGAAAGGCAACATTACAAACACGAAGCCCCATACAATTCTATCGAATGTCACATGCACGTGTCTGATTCTGAAGGTAAGACTGCTAGATCTCCAAACAGAGCTGCTTCTGTCTCCATTACATGAGCACCTGCCCTAACTGGAGATAGGTTTCTCAAGAAAACTGTCACTAAACACAGCAAAAACAAGATCAGGACAACTAATAAAACAGTGCAGTCACACAGTCAGTGTTTCAGAGAGTTAACACCACCCAGAGGAAAAAAACAGGGAACTGACAGACACATCAATGTACAGCCCTAGTGATTTAACTAAGAAAACAGTCAACCCCCTGCCACCTAAACAGGCAGACAATGTTCCCATATTTGAAAAAAAATAAATAAATAAAATAAAAAATTCCTTTTACACACTGCAATGTTCCCATATTTGAAAAAAAATAAAAAAATAAAGAATTCCTTTTACACACTGACGTTAAGCCCTTTGCTAATTTTCCTTGCCCAGCAGCAACTCTAACACTACAGCAAGTCGAAGATGGCTGGATCACAGCAGAGCAGCTGTAACACCACACTTCAGCACAATAAAGTGAGACTCATCTTTAATCACTGAAGAGACTGAGCTAATTCAAGACCCTCTCCATCTCTGGCACGCAGCATCCTCTTATCAGAATCAGTATCTGCACAGTACATTTCTGCTCCAACACCACATTGTTGGAAATTACAAAGACGTGCCTTGGAAGGTGTCAGCCATTGCCAAAACTGGCCCTTTTTTCTTCTCTGATTCTGCAGAGTGAATGACAGAACATCCAAGTCAAATGAAAGGCAAAGGGGACTTAACATTAGCCTGTTTTAATACTTCAGCAGCTAATCTGCCTGCATTTGCCCTTTCATCTCCTGGCCGCGGTAGCTCTGCACTCACTAGTATTCAGGAACCAGGATTTGTCTCTCCCATCTGTGACAACCCCACCACTTCCCCAGAAACAAGGGCAGCAGTTATCGGGTTATTTCTCTTTCCCAAGCCCATGCCCACAAGGTTTCTTAAAGTTTGACAACTGAAGTCTTGAACAGAATCAAATGCATTTGATCAGAGTGAAATGATGTTTCACTTTCAAATTTTAAATGATGCAAGTAAAATTCATACAAGACTCAGAGCTTTGATAGTGGCAAGGGAAGGCAAGAGAGGAAACGTGTGCAAAGGCTACTGGCAGCTTCATACAAACACACACAGCAGTGCGACCTGCACAGCTATTTCCAAAGCACCTCAGCCCCTGAGCTGATAGAAACCACGTGGCTGGAGAGCAAGAGGGTGCCTGAAGCTGCACAGGACGCTGGGGAAAGGGAACATCCAGCTTTATTCCTTAAGCATGATTAGAGGCAGTGTGGACAGGGTATTTCGGACTGCTTAGAAGCTGACCTCTACATCTCAGTGCAAGACGAGTTAGCGCCACAGGAGCTGACAGCTGATTACTGATTTTAGTCAACCACATCACAGCTGATTAACTGTGTGGTTCAGTGTGGTTAAAGAGATTTGACTGAGGGTTTGCCAGGCAATAACAAGGTCGGGCCAGCAATCTGCTGGGAAACGTCTGCAGAAAGCAGTTTTACCTATGCTGGCCAACGAGATTACAGGGCCAACACTGTCATAACATTTTTTTTTTTTTGGTGCAAGAACAGAGCCTTTGAGGGCAACAGGAGGAAGCTACACTTAAAAAGTATCCTAATCACGATAATCAGTTTAAAAGAAATGCATCTGTGACAACAGATTGCTCTGAAGGTCAACTGGATGCCAACAGAAAATGTTATATAAATGTATGAGCATCAAAAACAAAAATGATACTCTAAAGCCTCACAACTACCGAGAAAAGTGAAGATGATCCTGCTTTACCCTTTGACCACCTCATGCCTCCTTATCCAAAGCACAGAGATCCTCCCTTGAGTCCTTCACAGTACCTAGGTGTTACGCATGTTGACGGTGCAAGAACACTCCTGCTCCCCTCTCCCATCTGATCTCCAGTGGATTGACAGCGGCTGTAACATTCTTGTTTCGTACATAATCCACTCAACTATAGCACATGGCCGGAGGTTTCGATTTTTATAACAGCTACTCCTGTTTCTTCTCCGTGGGTTTCAACAACCTTTCTGGCAAGTGACCTTGAAACCAGTTACACAACAGGGGCCTTAAGAATTCAAAACAACAAGGAAGTCCAAGCAGTGAATTACCACATGAAACAAAACACCTCTAAAGCTGAACTTTCCTGCAAATATACAGACTCCTGGCATTTTATTCCAGCCCACTGCCTGCTAGATCTTGAGTGGCCCCAATGTGCTCCAGCAAGACACAGCTCTCAAGTTAGATTATCTTGTTCTGTATCATAATATCCTGGAGGAAATGTTACCCTCTTTGTTCATGAAAGCAAACTGAAATGGAAAACACAGGGAGTCAGCAGCACAGCCTGCACACTGACTCCCAGGGCAGCAGTTCTGCCTTTCGCACCCCACCAGTCACCTTTCCAAGGCAGACTCCTCGAGCTTCCCGCTGGCACTCAGCAAAAAGGCAACTGGCTTGGAGCTTCCCTACCAGCAATATGGATGGAGGCCCTTAGAGATGGCTAGCAGCATGGAGAGGTGCTGTTTCAAATGCAGGCAGGAGCACAGAAATGGAAAAAAAGTATGGACTGACTGCTATATGCTAAGCTGAACTCAAGGGGGATCTTCACACATGTGAAAACTCAGTTACAGTGGAGTAAGTGATACTGAATAGAACACATGAAGGAGCTAAACTAGC